ATATATGTATATATATATATATATATATATATATATATATATATATATGTATATATATGTATATATATGTATATATATATATATATATATATATATATATAATAAAAAAAAAAATATATATATATATTATAAAAAATATATATATTATATATAATCTGTATAAGCATCAGCATATTATTAAAATTATTCTTGAAATAAGTGCAAAAACAGAAATATATCTTTGCACACATTTACATGAGTATATTGCACATTTCTGTGGCCCTGAATATTACATAAAATTACATATACACTCACCGGCCACTTTATTAGGTACACCTGTCCAACTGCTCGTTAACACACATTTCAAATTAGCCAATAACACGGCAGCAACTCAGTGCATGTAGACATGGTCAAGATGATCTGCTGCAGTTCAGAGTGAGCATCAGAATGGGGGAGAAAGGGGATTTAAGAGACTTTGAACTGGCATGGTTGTTGCTGCCAGACGGGCTGCTCTGAGTATTTCAGAAACTGCTGATCTACTGGGATTTTCACGCACAACCATCTCTAGGCTTTACAGAGAATGCTCCGACAAAGAGGAAATATCCAGTGAGCGGCAGTTCTGTGGGCGCAAATGCCTTGTTGATGAGGTCAGAGGTCAGAGGTCAGAGGAGAATGGCCAGACTGGTTCCAGCTGATAGAAATGCAACAGTAACTCAAATAAGCACTCGTTACAACCGAGCTCTGCAGAAGAGCATCTCTGAACACACAACACGGCCAACCTTGAGGCGGATGGGCTACAGCAGCAGAAGAGCACACCGGGTGCCGCTCCTGTCAGCTAAGAACAGGAAACTGAGGCTACAATTCACACAGACTCACCAAAACTGGACAATAGAAGATTGGAGAAACGTTGCTGCTCTGATGAGTCTCCATTTCTGCTCACACATTCAGATGCTCGGGGCACAATTTGCCCTCAGCAACATGAAAGCATGGATCATCCTGCCTTGTATCAGCGGTTCAGGCTGGTGGTGGTGGTGTAATGGTGTGGGGGAGATTTTCTTTGGGTCCATTAGTACCAATTGAGCATCAACGCCACAGCCTACCTGAGTATTGCTGCTGACCATGTCCATCCCTTTATGAGCACAGTGTCTCCATCTTCTGATGGCTACTTCCAGCAGGATAACGCAGCATGTCATAAAGCTCAATCATCTCAGACTGGTTTCTTGAACATGACGATGAGTTCACTGCACTCAAATGGCCTCCACAGTCACCAGAGCTCAATCCAATAGAGCAGCTTTGGGATGTGGTGGAACGGGAGATTGGCATCATGGATGTGCAGCCGACAAATCTGCAGCAACTGTGTGATGCTATCATGACAATATGGAGCAAAATCTCTGAGGAATATTTCCAGTAGCTTGCTGAATCTACAACACCAAGGATTAAGGCAGATCTGAAGGCAGAAGTTGTCAGACATGGTACTAGTGGGGTGGACCTAATAAAGTGGCCAGTGGGTGTATGTTATATACATACACATAACACAAAGCAGTGCAGGCCATCCTCATACCTCTACGGTATTTACATTTACATGCCAATTATAACACATTACAGATTTATAAATAAAATAAATGTGATTCTCCAACCTTCCTGCGTTTCTGCTCCTGGTTTTCTACTTCCATTTCCTCTTCATCTTCATCAGTCTGAAAATCCTCATCCTCATCTTTCATCTCCTGCTCATCATCTGCGTTCTTCAGTCTGAACATTGATGCTGCAGAGAAACACAACACTCATTTAAAGGGCCGCTGTCATGCCTAAACAAATGTACAATGCTGCATTTTCTGCAGTCATTTTCAGTATTATTTCATGGGGTTCAGGAGTGTGTGTGTGTTTCAGCTAGTTTATTCAAGACGTTTGGTACATTGAAGAGGTTTCTTTTCATGTTTTTTTCTTCTTTTGAGATTTAGTTTAGTTTGCTTTAATACAGCTAGTGGCTTTCATACTGTATTCACTCAGGGCTGCTGTTTATGCTAATGAGGGAGAGATGATCACAAGTGGGCGGGGCTTTCCCCCTCTGATGACACGTACAAAGACAGAATGTCAATCAAATGTTTCATTCATCAAGTCTGATTATAACAAACACAATTAATGTTCACCTTTACAGATATGGAGATATTCACACCCTGCTGACACACAACTGCGTTTAAACCCTTTATACAAGAGACTTTTGTATAATAGGGGCCCTTTAAACTTCTGTTTAGTTCTTCTGTTAGTGAATCTGAAGTGTTCGGCTCATTTAAATAGCATAGTACACGCCCACACGATCTCCATATAAGGGTTTTCCACTCGTAAAATTCTAAATAGTCAAAATATGAATTAAGAAGAGACAATTATGGCACCAAAACAATAAAAGAAGGATTTTACCAGTAATAAAGGTCGCTGCGGACCATTTTCACAAGACTGTAATGATGCTTTTAACGTCCATCAGCATCTTAAAGAGCCCTTATAATGGGTGTTTGAGAATGATCTTCATGTAGTGTGTAACACTACTAGCTGAAATCTCCAGCTGATGCTGTGTTCACACCAGACGCAGAACGCGCGGATAAATTGCAATATTCGCGCGTAAATAGCCGCGTGAACATTTGAGTTTACTTGCTTCATTCGCACGGCAAATTCACCTCAGAGATTAAAGACCTGTCTGTTTAGTAAAGCATACACTCAATGCATCACCTAGCGGGTTCCACACAGGCTTCTGCATCTTGCTTATATACACTATGAACAGCAGCTACGCTAATTATTCTCTTTATTCTCTATTTTCACCTGGGGATACTCATCTCGAGGTCCTCAGATTATGCGGAGTCTCTGATTGGATCCAAGACCAGCGACGAGATGATCCCAAGGATTCCATATCCGGGACCAGGGCGTATCCTGAGCTGCTGCTGCGCTGATGGTCGTGGGGAGTGGAGAACATGAGACTGATTCCAGCGACGCTCCAGGGACAGACGAGTCTTCGCTGAGGCCAGCTTCCAGCCTCCACCGCGGTGACTGAAGCTCTGCACAAGACTTTTTGCCAGCGGAGAAATTAAAATGGTCGTGCCGAACTGAGTCTGGTTCTCTCAAGGTTTTTTTTCTTCACTCCCATCAGGTGAAGTTTTTTTTCCCTCTCCGCTGTCGCCACTGCCTCGCATGGTTCAGGATTGGTAGAGCTACGCATCGATGAATTTGCTCTTCAGTGTTTGAACTCTCAGTAATGATTAAGCCACACTGAACTGAGCTAAACTGAACTGAACTTAAACACTAAAAACTGAACCACACTGTTCCAGTTACTATGACCATTTATGTGAAGCTGCTTTGACACAATCTACATTGTAAAAGCGCTGTACAAATAAAGCTGAATTGAATTGAACTTTAGAACATACGTGGATTTGTGTGATGGGCAGGGCTTCTGTCTACCCGGTGACTCTAGCTTCGTAGCTAAATGGCTAACATGGATTTTATTAAGAAAATAACAGTGCTTATGTGCTTTAAGAAGGCTGAAAAACAGCGTCGATAAGTTTAGGGCCGTGTCTGAGTCCACTAGATTATTTCAGAGGTGAATCCAGCTCTATGAGCTCTTAGACTCCTCCAGAAACTGAACCTGGATGACGGAGGCTTTCAGCGGTGCTTCTGACTGAGCCCAGCCCAGTTTGATAAACTTCTTGTCGGTGTCTGCTGGAGGATTTCCCCCGGGACTCCAAAAACAGGTGTACATCACAATCACGCCCCCACAAGAGCAAGCTCCTGATTGGTTAACTGCGCGCAAATGTCTGCTGAAGTTCAGATTTTCGAACTCAAGCAATTCGAGCGAAATGCGCATCAAACACGCAAAACGCTCAATTCGCGCAGCACCTTTTGCGCATATCGCGCCATGCCATTCGCATCATACGCACCGCACCATTTACGCGTATCTCGCCGCAGGATGTCTATTCGTCTATGTCTATAACATGTAAATCTCTCGCGCTTGACACGCGTTCCGCGTCTGGTGTGAACGCAGCATGAGGCTTAAATCTGAAAGTGTAGTGTTTAAAACTAATGATTCATCTATAAAATACTCGACTCTTTTATAGTGATTTGAAAGAATCGCAGCTGTAATGAGTCTTTAGCCATGCCGGCGTGAAGTTGATACAGAACTTAAGCCACGCCCACTTGCTGCACACCTATACCTGGGGAATTTGAAACTCCTGGCCCCGCCCACAAACACTGCAGCAGATCCCGGCTGAATCATGTCATGAAGACGCGTGAGGGGAGAGGTAGTGTTATTTTCTCAACCCAAAGATGAGGCTGTGAAGAGTCAGTGGATGAAGATTATTTACCTCAGCATTACAGCCCCAGCCTCGTGCTGTGTTCTCGTCATTTTTCTGACGAGTGCTCCATCAATCCACATGCTTACAACGGGGGATTCATCGACCGTTTGTTTAAGGAAGGATCAGAAAATACTACTGATGTGTGGGACACTTTGTCAGAGCTTGACAGGAACTTTACACAGCACAGTTCATGGAGCAGTAAGTAACTTAGTGCGATTAAAATGGCTGCCTCCTAGTTTTCTCCAGCTTGTAAATTCTGTATTTAATTGTTTTTTGTTACTTGTAAGCGCTTGTACTGTATCTGGTTAACTCTTTATATTCTCATATCACGTCTAATGCCATGTTGAAAACACGACGCGTGCTGCGTTGTTTACTGATTCAAATGATCCTCTGCTATGGCCACTGTCAGCTGCTCCTACACACGTGCAGAGGTCAAGGTTCAGTATAGTTCAGCTTTTGCCGCTGTGTGGATTCATACTGAGTGTGTGTCAAGGTTAAGAACAGAGCAATATGCTGCTGTTTAACTGCACTGCTTTACTACACTCCTGCATTAGGCTCACACACACACACACACTCTGCCTACTTCAACACTGTTGAAGAGCTGTGGTGGGCGTTTCTCTCGGTCTCACACTGAACGCAGTCGACCAATCACAGCAGACGGAGTGACAGACCAATCAGCACAGATTAGCATCGCGGTAAGGAGGGGTTTGGGAACACATGAATAGCTGAATGAATCATACAGGAGTTGCTGGGATAATCAGGTAAAAATGAACGCAGATTATAAGACAATGAAAGTGCTTTCCCTGCATGCAGATCAGAATGTTGGAGACCCCCAAAACCACAATATGACCCTTTATAATGCATAATATGGGCTCTTTTAAATCCTTTTTAACATTTAGGTTTTAAAAAAACATGCACATTTATATGTTTTTATGCATGTAATATATCATCTTTGCATCACAAACATGTAATCCTGCTCGTGTGAGGTGTGTGTAATGCAGTGTGTATGGATGCAGGACAGTGAATCTGACATTATTCTCTCCTCTGGCTGCCGTTATCAGTCTTACACTATTGTTGTAGTCTTGATCACACCATCTTGGAGTTTTTCTGTCATTATTTCAGCAAATAGGATTGAAAACAAATGATTTGTTGTGCTCTCCCATTCACTCCGCTCTGAGTTCACCAACTACGACCACTTCTGCTGCAGATAAACACGCTAATGTGAAAAGGGGGCATTAGGAACGCGTCTTATAACGTATGGAACAAACGTGATGCTTAACAAGTAATAGCTGATTGAAAAAGTAAACTCTACTAATAATCAGTCAGGCTTGTCGATGTGAATTAGATAGTAAGGGTAGTACTGACGTGGATAGAGATCAGACATGCTGTCCTCAGAGTCGCTGTTGTCTTCTTCACTGCTGCTGGGAGCCCACACACCGCTGTCCTCCGTCCGCTTCTTCTTCGTCTTCTTCTGTACTTGTCTGTCTGTGTCCTCATCGCTCTCTGTGCGTCTCTGCTTCTTCCTGAGCTGCACAGGCACAAACTTCACACCCTGACGCACACACTCCTCATCTAAACACACACACACACACGACATTAGACTGAATGATTAAACATCGTCATCTTCAGAGGAACTCTTGCTTAAGTTGAATCACAAATATACAGTAGGCTTTATACACCATACACTTATGCAGTATATAAAGTATAGCAATAATGCGGCAGCTAACATCAATTAAACTCAACGTTATTAATCTTAGATGATGTTGATTTCTCAGTTAAAGCTTGATGGTGCATTAAAGTCATGATCGTAATCGATTTTAAATAAAGTTATTAACTAATAAAATTCTATTTTAACTTATAATAACAGCATAGTAACTGTAACAAGCCGGGCTTCCAGCTAACTCTATCAAGCCTCTTCAGCTGCTCCAGAACGCAGCAGCACGAGTTGTCTTCAATGAACCTAAAAGAGCACATGTCTCTCCGCTGCTCATCCGTTTGCACTGGCTGCCAGTTGCTGCTCGCATCAAACTCAAAGCTCTGATGTTTGCTTACAAAGCGACTTCTGGCTTTGCTCCTTCTTATCTGCTCTCACTTCTGCAGATGTATGTGCCCTCCAGAAACTTGCGTTCTGTGAATGAACGTCGCCTCGTGGTTCCATCCCAAAGAGGGAAGAAATCACTTTTCCAAACTCTCGCATTCAATCTGCCCAGTTGGTGGAATGAACTCCCTAACTGCATCAGAACAGCAGAGTCACTCGCTGTCTTCAAGAAACCACTAAAAACTCAACTATTTAGTCTCCACTTCACTTCCTAATCTGCTATTGTCTCTGGTTCCACCGCTAACTGCACTACCAAAAAAAAAATTACTAATACTTCCCTTCTTACACTTTACACACCTGAAACTTGCCTATAGCACTTCTTCATTGTTGCTCTTGTAATTGTGTAAATTGCTTCCTTGTCCTCATTTGTAAGTCGCTTTAGATAAAAGCATCTGCTAAATGACTAAATGTAAATGTAATGAATCTGGCCTGTTCTCATTGTGGGTTTTAATGCATTGACTACTAATGAGACTTTAATGTAAAGTGTTATCTATTCTACTGGATCATCTTTCTGCAATTTATTAAGTTTGTTCAGGTGTGTTTGATTAGAGTTGGAGCTAAAATCTGCTGGACACCGGCCCTCCAGGAACAAGTTTATTGACCCCTGCCATGGACGATTGCCTTCAGATGACCCCAAAGATAAAAGTCTAAGGCGGTCAGACCTTGGCCCACAACGAGCAATCCACTTTTCAGGAAGCTTTTCATCAAGGAATGGTCAACCCTGACACCAATAATGTGGCGGTGCACCATCTTGCTGGAGAAACTCAGGAAACGTGTTAGCATCAGTGCATAAAGAGGGAAACACATCATCATATGGTCTTGAGGTTTCCATTGATGAAGGATGGCTCCACTATCTTTGTTGTCTATGGTGTGAAGATACAAGATGTGCAGCACCTGAAACTACAGATACTGGAAGCCTGTGCAGGCATTTCTCCTGCGGTGTTGCTATCAGTGTGTGAAGAATCAGAGAAGAGGGCTGCATTGACAATCCAACACAATGGGCAGCACATTGAACACATTTTATAAGTGGTCAGAAACTTGTAAATAACTCATGAAAGAATAAAGGTATGTTAAAACCAAGCACACCATTGCTTTTCTTGTGAAATTCCCAATACGTTTGATGTGTCACATGACCCTCTTCCTATCGAAAAAACAAAAGTTGGATCCAAGATGGCCGACTTCAAAATGGCCAACATGGCCACCACCCATCTTGAAAAGTTTGCCCTCTCACATCACCAACCACTGCCAATTTTATTAAGGTGGATCCATATAAATGGCCCACCCTGTATATACACTGTAAAGTAATACACCAAGTATTTTTGGTTGGTAAAGTAGCCTTTTTTTAAAGCTTAAAGGCTCGTACACACCGCTTTTCGTTTATGTTTTTCGTCAGCGTTTTATGAGACATTTTTCAGTGTTCAAACCTAAGCACTTTTCACTGGCGTCTAGCAGAAGAGTATGCAAAATCACTCTTTTGACGTTAGATGGCGCTACAAAACTTTAAGCTTCTGACACCCGCTTATAAACAGAAGAAGAGGAGGAGAGGAAGTTCACACGCTTGTTGTTTAAGTTACTGGTTACTCGAACAAGCATGGATGGTTCAAGCATCAGCTCCAGCTCTAGCGATGAAGAAATGATTATTGTTCAGCAGAGCAATCAGCAGCTGCACGTTCATATCGCCTCTGGGCATCTTCTTCAATGTGCGCTCGCATTGATAGTTTTGCACTTGAGTGCCTCCAAGTGCTGTTTACGGTAACTTCAGCAGCTCCGTGCACGTGAACTAAAGTGCCGATCTGATTGGTGGAGAAGGTTTTGACGCCGGGCATGAAAACACAAAAAACGAGCATGAGGCGTTTTTTTTAAAATGACGATTTTGCGCCTGCCGTTTTGCGCGTTGGTGTGCATGATCACATTGACCCCCGTTATTTAGTCGCGAGGCGTTAAACGTCGACGGAAAACGCGAGCAAAATACGTCTCGGTGTGCACGGGCGTTAACATTGTGATATACAGTCTACCAATATAAAAGTAATCAGCAGTTAATCTCAACAGGAAAATCAGCATAATATCATCATAAGCCAACTCACACTGCGCTAAAGCCTTCTGGTAGCGTTTGCCGCTGACGTGTCGCAGAACCTCCTTCGGCTCACGGTTAATGTGACGTAACGTGAGTTTGCAGAAAAGATGATTACTGTGGAGAAAACACACATCAGACTCTGTTTCAGTCATTAAAGGGCATCTATCATGCATCATACTTTTATAAAGGGTTCAAACCCAGCTGTGTGTCAGACTCTAATGCTCAACAGTAATGAATTGAGTTTGTTCTAATCAGACTTGATGAGTGAAGCACTGTGTTGACATTCTCCCTTTGTACATGTCATCAGAGGGGGAAAGCCCCGCCCACTAGTGCCCATTTCTCCTTCATTAGCATCTCCAGCAGGCCTGAGTGAGAAGCAGCCGTCTGTCCATTAGCCATTAGAGTGTTTGAGCTGCTGAAGATAATGTCAGCATACACATAACACACACACTGCTGTTTTACATCTGTCACTATGCTCACGCATATGCATTTGTAGCTCCACCCTCTTCTGAAAAGAGCACAATCTCATTTGCATTTAAAGCAACAGTCACCAAAACACCACGATCAGTATCAAAGCCTGAGAGGGTCAGTTTCAGAGAGCTGGAGAACATTATCTGTGTGCTGTTCCCAGCTCATACTCACACACACACACTCCAGACACGCATTTGCAGCTTGTGAACAGTGGCATTATAGGTGCGCTATAGTCTACTGTATTGCAATGTCATGTAGTTTACTATACTATAGTGTCCTGTACTGTAGTTTGCTCTACAGTAGTATAGTTTACTGTAGTGTGTTGTAGTGCTGTTATGTGCGGCTAGTACTGTAGTGAGCTGTACTCAGTGGTGTAAAGAGTACTGACAAATCACAAGTAAAATTAGCATTGCTTGCCTAAAAATTTAGTGCAAGTAGAGTAAAAGCTATCTGTTGTAAATATTACTCCAAGTATGCGTAGCTTATGAGTAAACCTTTCAAAAGTACTCAAGAGTAGCGAGCATTACACTGTAGACAGCTGATGCGTTTACATGTAGTATGTGCATGTGTGTGTGTGTAAACGTAACATTCTGTAGTGCATTGAGTTATTGTCCAGCAGACACACAACGTCATCAGACGTTAATATTACGTTAGATTTAGGTTGTGATGTCAGGGGACCAAAATGTAATGTGTAGCCAGCGTCTGAGGACAACATTATTCTGATAGCCAATAACAATGTTAAATGACGTTGATATTTGGTTGATTTTAGGTTGTTAGAAAGTGACCAAAATCCAACATCTTAAACCAACATCTTAAACTAGCATCATGTTGACGTCAGATACTGACATTTATTCATCAGGTCTGACAACCGAAATCACACGTCTGATAGACGTCATAGTGGTAGCGTACACACAACGTCAAGCATTAACATCATTAGACGTTGATATTTGGTTGATTTTAGGTTGGACATTGATGCTGGTCTGACATCAACCTGATGTTCATTTCCAAACAAAATGCAACGTCCCCACGATGTTAGAGTACAACGCCAATCTCATCAGACATCTTGTGTATTCGTAATGTGTTACTTTACACCACGGGCTGTACAGTGGTATAGTTTACTGTATTGTAGTGTACTATAGTGTAGTGTACTCGTGGTTGTTTAGTGCTGTTGGTTATGTGCAGCTCGTACTGGCTGCAGTGTAGTATAGTTAACTGTAGTATACTTGCGGTTGTTTAGTGCTGTTGGTCATGTGCAGCTTGTACTGGCTGTACTGTAGTATAGTTTACTGTAGTGTACTGTAGTGTAGTGTACTCACGGTTGTTTACTGCTGCTGGTTATGTGCGGCTCGTACTGGCTGTAGTTAAACTGCTCCTGTGCGCTGAGCTTCTTATATTTCTTGCCGGACGTGAAGTGTTGAAGTTCAGAGAGACTACAGGGAAACTCGTGTCCATTCAGCACACACTTAATCTGAGGGAAACACACACACACACACACACACACACACACACACACGTGCAATCAACATACAGAAACACTGAAACACATACCCACACAGAGACAGATAATAAACACACACACACACACACACAAACACCAAGACACAAATGCACACAGACACACACAGTTACACACACAAACACAGAGACGCATAATGCACACATGCACACAGACAGACAAACACACACACAAACACACCGACAAAAAACACACACACCGACACACATAATGCACCCAGACACACACACACACACACACCGAGACAGATAAAATACACATACACAAACACACCAAGACAAATAATGCACACAGATACACACACACACCGAGACACATAACACACACACACACACACACACCGAGACAGATAAAATACACATACACAAACACACCAAGACACATAATGCACACACACACACACACACAGATAATACACACACACAAGTCACACACACAAACACACTGAGACACATTATATATACACACATAAACACACACACACACACACCCAAATACATACACACATTAGTCACACACACAAACCATAAATACACACTAAACACAGAGAAACACAATACACAGACACACAATACACACATTTAATATACAGAAAACAACACAGTAAACACACTGAGCCACAGTCACACAAACCAAACATTAAACACACACACACACACAAACACACCGACACACATAATGCACCCAGACACACACACACACACACAAAGACCGAGATAGATAAAATACACATACACAAACACACCAAGACACATAATGCACACAGATACACACACACATCGAGACACATACACACACACACACACACACACACACACACACACACACACACACACACACACACACACACACAAACAGATAATACACATACCCACACACAAACACACTGAGACACATTATATATACACATTATATAAACACAGAAAAACACAATACACAGACACACAATACACACATTTAATATACAGAAAACAACACAGTAAACACACTGAGCCACAGTCACACAAACCAAACATTAAACACACACACACACACAAACACACCGACACACATAATGCACCCAGACACACACACACAAAGACCGAGATAGATAAAATACACATACACAAACACACCAAGACACATAATGCACACAGATACACACACACATCGAGACACATACACATACACACACACACACACACACACACACACACACACAAACAGATAATACACATACACACACACAAACACACTGAGACACATTATATATACACATACACACACACACAGACACACACACACAAATACATACACACATTAGTCACACACACAAACCATAAATACACACTAAACACAGAGAAACACAATACACAGACACACAATACACACATTTAATAAACAGAAAACAACACAGTAAACACACTGAGCCACAGTCACACAAACAAAACATTAAACACACACACACACACCGACACACATAATGCACCCAGACAGACACAAACACACACACACATACACACATACACACACACACACACACACACACACACACACACACACAAAGACCGAGATAGATAAAATACACATACACAAACACACCAAGACACATAATGCACACAGATACACACACACATCGAGACACATACACACACACACACACACACACACAAAAACAGATAATACACATACACACACACAAACACACTGAGACACATTATATATACACATACACACACACACAGACACACACACACACACACACACACACATACAAATACATACACACATTAGTCACACACAAACCATAAATACTCACTAAACACAGAGAAACACAATACACAGACACACAATACACACATTTAATATACAGAAAACAACACAGTAAACACACTGAGCCACAGTCACACAAACCAAACATTAAACACACACACACACACAAACACACCGACAAAAAACACACACACCGACACACATAATGCACACACACACACAATTACGATAACAATTACGACACTCACGATAACAAGACTATATGAAACAGTTATTCGCCTCATCAGCAGCTGAAGTCAGTGTGTGTGTGTGTGTGTGTGTTACTGACCCTTTTCGACTCTGTGAGCTCAAAGCACGGCTGTTTCTCTAGAAATGATCTCAAGTCTTCTGGTAAATCCTCCATTATTACACAGCTAAACCCGATATGAGACAAACCCGGTGTGAAAAACAACACAACCCCAAAACTATCACCACAGAACTCTGTGAAAACACGATTAATATTAAACTAAGAGGATAAACGTGTGTGTTTTGCTGCACATGCTGAGCGGCGCGACGTCTTAAAAACTACAACATGACGTCATATAAACACGACAAAGACCCTAACGCAATGCCAGACAGAAATTTGTTTTTAAAGCTTTAAAATCATTACAGGCTTTAAAGTCACTACATAACTAATCTGTATGATCTTATTTGGTCATTATTTTAAGTTAAAATACATTTTGAGCAGAGAAAACGGGTGATTTATCATTCTGATGAGGCGCATTATTGGACAGTCCTGACAGTCAGCTGACACTCAGCTCTTCGTCGCTCGTCATCGCGTTTTTAATGTTTGTGTGGTAAATAAACATGTGTGTAGTGTCATTACATAGACAGTGTGTGTTATAACTCATATTAAAGTTGTTTTGTGAGCGTTATAATCCGCTGTTTTAGCTTGTTTCTGCGTGTAAACATGTCTGGACCGAACGGAGATCCCGATATTTCAGCTGAAGGAATAATCGAGGATGAAGATGAGTTCAACGAAGAAGGTTAATAATGACGCTTTATTTGATTATTTTCTGCTATTTCTTAACGGTTTTATTATACTATTCGTTTTTTTTAAATAAATAAGTTTACAATGTTATATACAGCCTATAATATATAAATATAAAACCGTGTAAATTTCAGTTTTTCTTTATTTATTGTGTATTGGTTGGACTAAAATGTAAACATTTGCATTATTTTAAAATAAAGGCCCCGAATTTAAAGTAAAAAAATATAGAAAATAAGCTTATTCTATCTAATATTGAGTTATTCATTTTCTGAAGTCAAACACTTATGTTGACTAAAATGAATATAAACATGTGAAAACACAGCATTTTGGGTTATTTTATGACAAAAAATGCTTTAAACTAGCTATTTTACTTATAATTTCTAAGAAATGTCATGAGTAGTTTACAGAATTAAACCAAATTTATGTTTTACTCACACGTACCTAAATAATAAATCCAGAGAAAGAGAGCAACGTTAGCACACACACACACACACACACACACACACACACACTCACACACACACACACACACACACACACACACACACACACAGAGGAGCAACACACACACACACACACACACACATACACACATATTCTCACACACACACACACACACACACACACACACACACACACACACACACACACACACACACACACACACACACACACACATACACACACAGATGCATGCATGCACAAACATGCACACACATTATTGCACGCACACAAACATATACACACACACACACACACACACACACACACATGTCTGAGAGCACTGCGCTTCACACCAGCACAAGTGTGAAACCAACACTGGGTA